GGATCGACGCTCTATTTTCAGGGCAGGATGAAAGCCAGGGTCGCTGGCACGGGAACAAGAACACAACAGATAATCGCGTCGTTCCGCGTCGACTTTAAGTCAATCACCACGTTGTTTCGGTTCTCTGAAGTCCTCGGCTTCCAAAATGAGTCCAGGCCGACCCTCAGCTGGGCTTTTTTTCTCGGGAGAGAATCCTCTCCCTGACTGGGTGCGACGGCGAAAACGACGTTACGCCGACCTGGGCGACCGTTAGTTATCCTCAAGCGTCTTGATTTGAGCACGGAGGGCCGCCGACCGAATTTACAATGCGCTCTATCAGATCCAATTTTCTACATTTCATCGGCAACGCCCTTCCACTCGCGGGGACAGCGTTTCTTTTTACAGGGCCATTTGTGTCACCGCCTGCGGTGATATTTCAGGGCGGCCCCTGGGGGAGGCGGAGTGACAGGGCGCGAGCCGTCTCTCGCGGACGCTGCGGTTACGCCATAACAGGGCGACCAACACAACAAGCTCGTAACGCCGGCACAGAATCAGATTCCCGGCATAAAACAGGCGGATTTTCGTGCCGCGCCGCAGTCGAGCTCCATACAGGACAGCAGCCGTGGAGATCCTCGAAACAAAACGGAACGATGTTAGAACATGTGGCTAAGGGCACTTGGAGGTTGGTGTGACCATTTTGCAGGAATATTGTGCGAAGCAAATGACGAGGGATGCTATCCCATTAATGAAAAGGCCAGCGTGGACAACAAGAATGTGCCGGCCAAAATAGCTACTGAGCCGCGGACGGCATTTATGAGCTGTTTTGAATAGCTGGCTAAAGATGGATGATAGCGTGAACGAAAAACAACACTGACTATCAAGGTGGAAATGCAAACGTCAGCGAAATTGTTGTCGCCATCCGGGTGCGCTTGATATACCTATTTGTAATGTAGAATGCGGAAATGGCACTGCAAAAGTAAACACAAAAGTGCTGCGTTCCAGCAGATACCACTGCGAGAAGAAATAGTTTTGCCTGATTTGTCTACTGGACACATAGCAATGACATTGAGACGATCACATCCGGCATGTGGCAGCCGAACAGTATTGCCAACAACTGACGGGGCTGGCTTGCATCCAGGGCGGGCGGCGGCGGGTCGGCCAGCCGACGCCACCCCCTTCCACCGCCGTCCATCAGCGTTTTTCCAGCGCCGCTACGTGCCGGCGCATCCATACGACGCTCCGAGCAGTGTTCACAATCAATTCGCCGGCCGAAATTGGCCGAAACGCCGAGCCGAAATTGGCCGAAATACGGCACCGCCAAATCATGACTGCTGGGCCGTAACCGGCTCCCCCTGCGCCGCCCCGCCCAGCGGCGGCGCGGGGGGCGCTTGGATGGCGATGCTGCGTATCGCGTGCCACGTTATGAAGAGACGTGTGCCCAGTGCAGATGACTCGATTAGACATCGACGAGCGCTCTGTCGTCGCCGCCGAGATTTCATCTAGCCACGCGGTGGTTTACGCGGCGGCGGCTGGGGACCACCGCCGAATGTGTCTTATGGGGACGGCGCGTCATTGTACAATTTACGTGACGCAGGCCGTGGAGGTAGTGATCACTGTATCTATCGACAAGGTAACAGCAGGCAGCCGTCCGCAGCTCGAGAGTTTGCCACCGCCTCACCCGCTGTCGCAAGAGACTGCGTCGAGACGCCGTGTTTTTGCCTTTTCGGTCTCCAAAGCCCATCGTATGTATGCTGATTTCAGCGGCGATGGAATTTTAACCGGGCCATCGGCCGGATGGTCATAAAGTATGCATCATAGAGCCTCTGCGTCCAGTGATGGCGCAGTCTAATGGTACTGCGCGTGATTTTCATAAATCCGCAGAAAATGTCGGCACAAAAGTGCCGTCCACGATATTTCCACTTTATTGGACCGGCAGATACGACTATGGGCGCTCTGAGTCGGACGGGGTCGGGTCGGTCTCTAATCTCAGCCAGACGCCACCAAGAATATGTGTTATTTATGATCAGATTGAAGAGCTAATCGGTTTCAGATTTTGTCTCCGCGGTCGCAATATACTTAGTGTTCTGATATTCCTAAAATCATTTGGAAACATGCATGAGAAAAAAGCTGAGTGATTGATAGCCAATAATCCTTGTAGCTAAACGTTGGCATCCCGATCTTGCGGAGCCAATGTACTCTTCGTAAACAACGTCGCAATTTGCAAAAATCGCGAAAACAAACGGCACGCTTCGCCCAAGTGCAGTATCGGGGTTCAGTGAACTTCTATTGCGGTCCAACGCATTCACAAACACGCCGTTGCACGTATCTCAGCAGGACATGGAGTCGCAGGGCGGGCAAATTTGCATACGCTCTCATCCCGGGGGCTTCAGAACACCCAAATCCAATAACAACGGCTGAATTGTCTCGAGCACCCGTTCGAAAATTCATAGATTCGATTAATTATGCATGATCAGTCGCAGCCGCCAGAGTGGCGAGGCCGCAGCCGGCAGGGCGCCGGCGTCCGCCGCACCCCCTGCCCAAACGCCTCGGCTGGCCGCATTAGGTGCGTCTAGCAGTGTGACATATCACACTGTCCCAGCGCCAGAGACAGGTGTCTGGAGTCGAGCCGCCGTTATTTGGCCCTGTCAGCTCCTGCCCGAAGCGGCATGCCAATATCGCTTAAATCCAGCCCGTCACTGACACGGCACGCGTCGGGGGCCTCCAGCGACGAGAGTTCAGACGATCCGTGACGCTTATGCGCATAGTTGCATATGCACAATCCACATCTATGTCAGCACGGCAAACGGAGCTTAGCCGGGCATTTGATCTGCTGCCCTGGCTCTCGAATGAAGCCCGATAGCGCTGGGGTGGCAAGTCGCCAAACACAACCGGCGGAGGATTGTCATCCCATGATCTCAATCACACAAAACTCGCCACAGGTCGACCAGCCAATTGATCTGGTTTGTTGCTTGATCAGCCGGGGTATGGCGAATCGTCACATAACACAAAGCGTCCGCTTCCCGCTGCTGGTGACAACTCAGTCGGCCGTATCGCAGAGATTGCATCGCATCATTTTACAAATAACGGTCAGACCGGCTCCAGCCTGGCTGTTTAATGGAATTTTGTAGGCCTCTTCAGATTTTACGAGTCATTTGGCAACAGTTACGACCAAGAATATGTCCATGCTGAAATCGTTACAGTCAAACATGAAATATGAGTCTGAGTGATTAAAGTTAGCCGGAGGGGCGGGGGGCGTAGTGTGCGTGTTCTGTAAGTGTCCTGTTTGCTCACTCAGAGATACCAGCAGCTGGTTTCATTACACACTGCACGCTTGAGCTAACTTCACACCATTGCAAATGGCGCAAGACAGTATATCACCCACAAAGACATAAAAAGCGTTGAAGCTTACGGGTTGTGGCAGGCTGCAGGATTCGTGGAACGACAATAGGCAGACAAGTCAACCCAGACAGCAGAAAATAGAACTTTCAAAACTGTCGTTCTCACAGATGTCCCCCACAGTATGCGTGTGGGGGGACGCCTAAGTGCACTGGACAAATCACATCGACTACCATGGTCAAATCGTCGGCTTTATGCAACATTTGGCGATTCCCTGAGCCGTGGCATAAACAGGCCATTGGAGGAGAACATCAGACTTTATAAGCTTACGTTACAGTCTCCAAGCTGTGGCGAGCCTCCAAGCCCCAGCCAGCTTCCCGCCCATATTGTAACCAAAAAGACTGCGTGCAGGGGCGAGCCGTAATCTGAGACGGGTGTGACTGGCCATCGCTAGTGCAATGCGTCTGTCCAACGTTAGTACAATGAGGGCTAGAGAAAGGGCGTCAGGGGAGGGTCCCTGCACTTAGGGCGTCTGCCATCTGCCCGAGGGGTCGCGGTCATCTGAGCACGTGCAGACACGTGCGACCACAGCGTGGGGCCTGCCATTACATTTGTTCACCGAAGATCTGCGTCAAAGAAGTGCGATAAAAGCAGTGGCGCGTGATTTGCGGTGCGTCTCGCCAATGGTGCCCGGCCCAAATGGACCGTAAAGCGGCGGGAGAGGGGGCGGCCGGGTCGGGCCGGCGCCGGGAGGTCAGAGTCGGGTCACGACAGCGGTCACCGAGTGGACTACACGGAGTCGCCCCTGTCACACCGGCTGACGCTTTTACGAGATAAGCCGCCTGAGCTCGACCGGCCGAGGTCGGCCTGTAGCGAGGTGTGCCCAATTTCGGACGGCGCGGCGCCGGCCACCCACCGCGACCCGCCGCGCCCAGCAGCCGCAAACACGGCCGCTCAAATAAACCGCCACCGTCTCCGGAGACGGCGACGGAGACGGCCCTGCCGGGACGACGCGCGGCGGCGGCCGTCTGGTGCCGGGCGCGCCGTTTCGAGACGGCGGCCGGGCGGCGCCAGACGAGCGGCGGCCGGTGAACGGGGAAAACGGCGCCATCGCACCTGCCAATTCACACCGGCGACGAGAAGTAAAAGAGCGCGAAGCTGTGGCTGGTGGCCGCATTCCTGCCGAGTGCCACGTCAGCGGACGTGCGCGCGGCGGCGACGGCAGCGGCGCTGGCCGCGCTCCTCGGTCGGCGTTTAGCGTTCGGTCGGCGCCTTCTGTTTACCACCGGTCGGCGGTGTGTATTTGTGCGGCCCGAGAGGTCCGAGACTGCCCGGCTGGCGGCGCCCGCTGAGAGATCTACGGCGTCCGCATCAGGCCAGGCGACAGGCTCACTGGCTGGCAGTCGGCAGGGCGAAACGAATACTTGGCAGCAGAGGCCGTGACATGTGGTAGATATAAAACCAACTTATGGCGAACAGCTCCATTCTAGCCCCCACAAAGATAAGCAGACTAGCAACAAATAAGCAGTTCATTGGAATACTTAGGCTCAGTTTCATGCCCCCCCCCCCCCCATAGAAGTCCGTCATCCTATTGTAGTTTGCTGATGGTGAACAGCATAATTTTCGGAGTGCACTGGCCAACAGCAAGTTTGAATTCAACGATTTCAGTTCTCATTCCACCTCACCGTGTGTCATGCTGTACAATCTGCATCACGTGATCGAGCCGATTATTGGCTGCCATGGCGACGACCCTCCGGACACAGCCCTTGCGGTTCACTCCGAGTCACCCCGAGTCACTCCGAATCACGCCGAGTCACTGCGAGTCCCCGCCGTCGCGCCGAGCGCCGCCGGGCAGCACAGCCCCCATGCCGCGCCCCGTGCGATCGTCTCGTTCGCCGCCGCGCCGGGCTCGACCGGCCGAAGCGGACGCGGCGGGCGTGTCTGGCTGGGGCGCGGGCCGTGGCGGCGCGCGGCCCGGGCAGAACCACACTGACGCCGGCCGACTGGTGCGGCGGCGACGGCGGCGGCGGGGCTGCGCCGCCTCCGGACGCGTCACGCCGCCGCCGCCGGTCACCGCCGGCTGGAGCAGGCGGGTCACTCCTGCGCACCGCTGGCTGACAACGTGCGGTCACTGGTTGGCCGTGGTTTGAGTCAATGCACTAGTCAGCACTGCTGCGCACAGTGACGGTGGTCACGGCTGCTCGGTAAAGTCCAGTCGCTGGCCGCTGCCGGTCGACACACCCCGGATGCCGATTACGGCTTGCTGCCTTTTCGTGACACGATCTAAGGAGCAAGTACCGTGCTTCTCGAGGCGCGTGAAGTCTTTGACTATTTACTGGACCATGGCTGACACACGAGATGACTGTCCGTTTCCCTCTGACGATAAAGCTAAGAATGATATCTGCATCCGATCTCAGCCACCAGCATGTTAGGCAAAACATACGTTGCCAGCTAAACTGCGCGGCCTGCATGCCTCACCATCAGCCAATGCGGATCGAAAACGCCAAGAGAGACCACAGAAGCTGCAGGACCTCAGGGAGCCGGACGGGGGATGATGTTGCTTTCCACTGAGGAAGACGGACCCGTTTCAGGCAGAAAGCTGAATTTTCTCAAGAGGGTCGCAAATTGTCGGGGGTTGTTTATGTAGCGGGGATCCGGGAGAAATCACATATCAGTGGTGCCTCAGATGGACTTCTCGGTATCTTGAATCATCGAGGTTGCAAGTGGCCTGCAGTTCCAAACGCTTGTGTCACTGGTAAAATGAAATTTGAATTTGAAATAGAATCTGACGACGTCCAGATAATAAAACTGGTGAAACAGCAATCTTCGATATCATTAGTAAGGTTGGAGGATATCTGCATTTCCATCTTATTCCGTTAAATCCCTAATTATTAAACCGGCAACAATAGCTGCTCCTAACGCAATTTTTTCAATATATATATATATATATATATATATATATATATATATATATATATATATATATATATATATTAGGCATATTCCATGGTGCTGGTGGCAGATTAAGTGCTAACTGCTTGTTCGGATCACTTGGCAAAAACTTACACTAGCGCTATTGAGGTGCAATTAAAGAAGGCATAAAACAAAGACTAACAATAATATCCATTGGCTAACAGCAATACCGTCCTTTCCGGTGCAAACTTTCTGCATGCGTCAATATACATTTCAAATATCATATTCACTTCCAAATGGGGATGTCGTGGCTTGCATCAGTAATTTACTGTTCGGATTGGTCGGAAGTTAACCAGCCGACCTTCACGTCGTTGGGAGAATACGAGGGGAGGCACAACTGACCACCTATAATTGGGTAGCGACCGGCGGTCAGGTAGACAGCATATTTCTGTGCAATGTCCAAAGGAGCCATACCAAAGTTAAAGAAAAGTTGGGGTTTAAATCCTCTAAATGTATGGGAAGTTCCCTCGATGCTCGATGTGTCGTCACGGGAAAGGTCACGTGCCGGGGGGCTCACGCCGAGTTGTGCTCATGATAAGACGGGCTGTACCTGACCTGTACTCAACACTGGCTGTGCTTCAGGCCAGATCCCTCGGAACGTACCGTTGCGCCTTGTACGATGCGCAGGCCACCGGAACGGTTGTGGAAAACGCCACTGCGTCAAGGCAGCTGCCAACACGGCGTTAGACGGTGGAACACGCTGAAGCTTGCCCGACAAAAAAGGCGCGGTTTTTTGGTTTGAATTTCGGACTCACTTGGCAAAAACAGGATCGAAATTCTGAAGTTCACGTCGTGGGTTCACATTTTATTGCAGCAATCAAAGCGTCCCAGCGGGATCCGGACATAGCACTTCCCGACGTGAATCCGGGGCCCAATTCGTATAGCACCGCAGCCATGGCATACTACCATCGTTGCCATCTGGGGAAATCGTCCATGATCAAACAGATCGGGTTCCAAACAAAAGACATAAACACCCGACAACGACAGGACCGACACCAACGGAGTAGGAAGCTCTACGCGGAGGTGAGATAGCAGCACAGTCTTCTTATTTTCCAGAGTACAATGTGATAAAGTAACTCCTTCACGTTGAAGGAGATAGGAGGGGAGTTATCACGAAGGGACAGCTGTTCCTTCGCCCTCCCCCCCCCCCCCGTGCACACAGTGTGAGATGCCATGTTTGTTTGCTTGCACATGTGGAGTTTGGGGCACGCTCAGCAATGGGAACCCAGATAGTGACTGATATACTGACAGTCATAGTGCGCACCCCAGCACGGAATTGGAAGCACCATCGGGCAACAACGAGTTCTCAATGGGAAGCCAGATAGTGACTGATATACTGGCAGTCATAGTGCGCACCTCAGCCCGGAATTAAAAGCACCACCGGGCAACAAGTTCTCAATGGGCGTATCTTCGTAAGTCTATCGTAAGTCCCTCAATCAATGCAATTCAACGTACACCTCTGATGCCGAGCATCACACATTGGTAAGCCATCGGTAACTGGAATAACCTCACCTTTGCCAGTTCATCCATTACAGCAGGCAACTATCCATTCATCAGAATTGTTACCTCTCTGGATGCTGTAAAGCACGGCCTAAATGTGCTGTGATCATTTGCGATAAAACATACGAGCCTGTCAAGCACCCAGATATGGGTTTGACTAGCTCCAGACAGGCGTACTACGTACAGCAGGGATCTGTCAGCGACGCACCATTAATCAGTGATCGCGTGCGGCAGGCGGTTACCACCCGCGCGTCGGACCCAACAACTGAAGTGGGTTGTCTCTATCTAAACACCGGCCGGAGAATATGACAGACCGGCGCCGCGCTCATGCCGCTGCCACGGCCCGGTCCTCTCGAGCATGTGGCCCACGCGCGAGCAGGCGGTTTTTGCCAGCGGCGCCTGCCATGGGAGCGCGTCCGCGCTGGCGAACCACTGCAGGTCACGCGTGCGATAGCCGCGGGTTCTTGTCGACGCGGCGGCGGTACACGTCCGCCGGCGTGCGTATACAAAATATTAATCACGATCTGGCTATGTCTGGGAGGGGTTATAAATCATCGGTTATTGATGCGCTCCTGGCAAAACCTAGGGGACAGCTGTAGAGGAAAAACACGCGGTCCGCTTCAGTTCGGTGGGCGTCGGTGGGTACAGCGCCTTGCTCTACGTCCTGGTGATTCGAGCGTGCGCCTGCTTTCACCCTTTCAAGTGTTCGTAAATTGTTTTCCATGCTGACACATCACTCCAGAGGACAAAAACACAAATATAAAAAGGGGATATAGGTCACTCGCAGGACAGAAACTAAGCAGAAGACTTCGTGCTGCAGAAAACGGAGCTGGATGATCCGTACATGGCATAGTCTCGACCGGAGCTCGAGATACGGGGCAGGGGTGCGTCCTTTCAACACGCACAAAGGCAGGCAATATCCCCACACAATGCATCCCAGTCGACCCCATCTCAAACACTCCACCGCGTTACGCCGGCGGGCAATGTCCGCATTATTCTCTCGAAACCATGAAATACGACAGTAGCCGCGACCGACAGCCCACCCGCGCCCGAATATCTGCTCTTGACGCCGTTGTCAGATGAATCATTCGGCCAATTTTGTCGGGCGCCGGCTGAGTCCGACGGTGCGAATTAGTGCCAATATCGCACAATAGCTGTGCGGCCGCGCGCCGCCCACAGAAGCGCGTCTGCCGCGCCCTGCCCTCCTCCCGGCTGTAACCACGCGCCGTGTATTCCTGGAGCCGACGCCGGCCACGAGACGGCGCTGGGGCCGCGCGGAGGGTGAGAGGGAGGGAGATGGGGAGGAGGGGTGGTCAGCCGCGGCCGCAGGTGGCCTCCCCGGAGACCGTCTTCAATAATGTCGCCGTAATCCTGTTTACGGGCGTCGACGTCGTCGTCGTCGGCGGCGACGGCGGCGGCGGCGGTGGCGGCGCCGAAAACAGCCGGGCTGGTCGAGACGTACGACCTGCTGTCTCTCAGCTTGCGTCGAGCTGCGGGACCGTGCCACATGCGCACTGCAGGCCAGGCGCACAGCGCACAGCGCCGGCCGAAAAGCCGGGAGGAGCGCCCACACACGCAGAGGATGACGTACAAACATCGGGAGGAAGAGGGACATGCACGCACGGGAGGGGGTCACGTATAAAGGCAGGCAGGCGTACGCGTGGTAAGAACTGGACGCCTAATGGGAGGCAGGCCTGCATACAAGGGGAACGGCGGCGCAGATCACGAACGAGACAGGCGTACATGCACCGAACAGAACCGCAAGCGGCGCGGTCAGGGCACACGTGTTTGGACAAGAGCCTAGCATAGCGCGGAAACACGTGTATGATTACGCGCCACTGTGCATGCCTCATGCACGGATCAGGAAGACCGTCAGACATGCATAATTACGGGCATTGCGGTGTGCGGCCGCGGAGCGTGCGGGTCGCCGGGCCGTGCGAAGTGCAGGGTGCACCACGTGCACGGCGGCTGCACGTGGTGTCGGGACGACTGCGGTTAGCGCGTCGGGCTGCTCGCCCACCCGGCGACACAGGCTGTCCGCACGTGAACACTTGGCCTTCGAAGAGCTGGCTCCGGCCCAAGCGACCACATGTCGACACGTTATAAAACCGCCGTGTGACGAGGGAACACTGGCGAAGGCTGCCCCTGTCCCGAACTCGCGCTCCAGGGTTGTCGAGTCAGCGGTGGGCTCATTTGGCGGAGTGTGGAGCTACTGCAGACACTGCGCCATGCCCTCCAATCGCACTATCCGTTGATGAGCGCGAACTATTACGTAACACAAACATAGCCTTAAAATGATACCGCTACCCAAAGTGCGTTGCGTTACATTAACGCACGCCAGACAGATCGCGCCAAGGAAGCCGCTGCAAAATAGGCCTTTTCAAAGATGCTATGGTCTCCATAAACGTAGGCATAATCAACGTACCGCATAATCACCACATGC